AAATTAGTCTGAACTGTTTTACATAAACACAAACAATGTTAACCCAGCTATCGTATAAAGATTCAGCTGGGATATTACATCGTTGAAGGGGAAACCTCCCCCCCAAAAATGAGCCCTGCCATAAATATCCCTTCTCAGCTAACGCGTAATAAATGCATTGTTAGGCTTTCAATAAATATATTCCATTGCTGACATATTGATTGAAAATGAGATGTGCTGTCTCGCCACAGTGTGGATAATGTGGTGACAAAATGCTCGCCGCTCCCCCATCCCCCTCCTTGCTGAGAAAGGGGGGACCCCCATCCTCCGACATCTGTGTCCACGTATGTGTTCGTGCACACTCGTGTGAATGTGTATCTGGGATTTGGGTAAAAAGCTCACGCGTACGCCTCAGTGTGACAGCGTGACATTCTCACACAAATGTACGCACGTATGTGTTCAAAGGGCGAGCCCGCCCTCCCTGCTTTTACATCTACTGCAATAGAACATCTCTGCCTAGCTTTGCTATTGGTTGCTACGGTAACAAAGGCACAGAGTGGAGTGGCTGCAGCAGAGAGAGAGAGAGAGAGAGAGCTTTCTTTCCTGTTAACCCGATGACAACAACAGATTTAACGCAGTAGAAAACAGTTTAGTGACCAGCGAAGTAGTCACATTTTTCTCACACACACACACATGTCAAATGATTAATTTATTGATGTACTTTAGTGGGTTGCAGCAGGTCTCGACTAGCATTCCAACAACAGCGCCGTTGTGCTTGGCTTTCGCTGTGCGTCCGTGCCTTCATATGGACGGCTGAGGGCTTTCGTATCAATGTCTCTGTGGTTCCTCGTGGTCACTAAATGCTGCTCAGTGCTGACAGGGATGTTGCTTTCTACATGCGCTCTGTTAAGCAAGATGAGAGCGTATTGATTTGCTCTTTAGCTTTAATAGTTGAGATGCCTTGTGCAAACGTGAGAATGTCCAATATGCACAAATGGTCACTGAAGCATTTTGGGATCGAGTCACTGGTAAATAATATATGTAATTACTTCACATAGTTTTTTGATACTGTACAGAATTTCCCGGCATTCCGCTTAATCCGTATTATTCCAGTGGGAACAGTTGTAGCAGGTGAACAAGATTGGAGAAAACTTGTTTATTAAAAAGAGCTTGGTCCCAGATGATGAAGACGAAACATATGGACAAACTGATAACAGGCCCAAGCAGGTGATTATGCCTCTTCCCATGACCTGCCGATTGGTTAATGATGTGAGTGTTAGCAGGTGATTTGCTAATGGGTCATTGCCTGATTACACAGTGCAGCTGTCGCCATCATTACTTGCATCCCATGATAACCGTGTCAGTGTCCCGGCATTTAATCCTATCACACCAACAAGATCTGACACATATTCATGACACCCTTTCTTCTCTACGCACGCTTGTCTCTCCATCCTTGATTTCATGATACTCATTCTGTCACCAGCAGTGCGTCTTCCGTCGCAGGCGGTGTCTCTCTTTTTCTTTTAAAGTCCTTTACCTAAACCACATCTGGTCTGTTCTCTCTCTCTCTCTCTGTGCAGCAGCGAAAAATTGAGAACTCTTTATAATCATGCGTCAAAGCGCAGCCCGAACCTCTTTTTATAGCTCAGCGGATTACAAATACTGCCTTCATCACGGCACCGTCCAACAGCGGAGTTCTAATATGTTGGCCTTGGCCCGGATCTGATGGTTTCATATATATAGATCGATAGGCTTAATCAATACACAGATAAACGCGGCAGGCGCTTGGTATGTAGCACGTGAAGGCTGTTTGCAAGCGTGTATGTGTGTGAGAGAGAAACGAACGAACTGAGGAAGGAAAGAGGGGTGGCTAACTCAGCAATGTTATGTGATTTGTTTAAGTTTTCTTCTTCTTTTTTTGCATTTTCTAAATTGTAACAAAAGGGAAATATTTGCATAGAAATGGAAAGAGAAGAGCGCTCATTGTTGATGGGACACAGTTTACTTGTATTTGAATGTAATCTTGTGTTACAGGGGTGCAGCTGAGAACCTTCTTTGTTTAGATTTTTTTACAGTTCTGCAAAATTTCACAATCAAAATTTGCATTTAATGTCTGCAATCTGCATTGACGTCGCATCACAGATGCTATCATCTGTATTATTGTGAAGTGAAGGAAATTTAGGGGACTTAATTGGGTTAATTGGGTTAGTTGCTTCTTTTTGGCTGTTTCTAAACCTCTATTGTTCTTGTGTGAGTTTGAGATATTTGAGATGTCTGCATTTCCTCAAATATAATTTAACTATATGGAGCTATGGGTTGTGGTGCTAAAAAAAATCAGAAATCATAACTTGGTTTCCCGAAGATAATAGACAGACCAAAATAATATAGTCTGATTGACAACATTACAGGTAAGAGGAAAATAATGTATTTTTAATTTGGGGTCAAACTGCATTATATCAGGAGCATCTTTTTTTCCCAAAAAACTCATTTATGGACACTTATTACGTGACGGATGGAGATAACGATGTTGAATGATGAAAAAGTAAATCCTGCTGAATATGAAAGTATGAATACCTCTGCGTGTGTTCAGATTTGATGGCGTTGGGCCTCTGAGAAAAGCCAGCGGGCCATGAGGCAAACACCAAACACTGACTCCAACACCCCCCTTATTTAATTGCGTTCATCCGTTTCCTCCCTACAAGATGACATAATTTAATTCTAGGTTTAAGCATCACATTTGGATCATGAAATGGCCATAATGAAATGGGGATGACCCCCCCCTTCACCTGACTCAATCAGTTCTAGTTGAGGGAATCCCAATGGAGATTAAGACGAAACAAGGCAACCCCCCCCCCCCCCGCCTCTCAGCTGAGGAGAGGGCTGCAAACCTGCAATCTGTGGGCTAGAATTTTCATTTGAAGTGGCCCCAAGAGTACAGTCTGCAGAGCCACGCCGCCCCAACGATGCAGTAAGGCCGAGATCCTCTTTGTGGCAGTGGCAAGTGGGTGGCATCAAACTTGAGAGCCCCACCCCCTACACGGAACCCGCCGGTCCAAACCTAAAATTAGCCTCTGTAATAAGAAGACGGGGGCTCACGTGTCTCAAATAAAATTAAATAAAATTAAATTAAATTAAATATTTACAGCAGCTGACCTGTCGTACAAATAACAGTTGTTTCTGGGAAAAATTGGCTCCTCCCACCCAGCGTGCCGTCGTGACGCCGACTGATTTACTGGCGATTGCCGCTGCCTGTCACAAAGTTGCCACCCACTTGCCACTGCCACAAGGAGGATCTCGCTGTCACTCCAACGATGTCGTCAAACCCCCTGTCACTCAAACCCGTGCATACTCAGAGTGCAGGCAACACAGGCACTTATTTCAGTATGTTCCTGTTTCATTTGTGCATCTGTGAGCTTGAAATAGCAGTTGTCATCACCTTAGCAACTAGCCCATCACCTTCCTCTCTACCTGGTGTTCTGTCTTTTTTTTCTTTCTGGAACAGACAAGCCGAGAGTTATAAAGGAAGAGAAATGAAGGGAGGAGGTGGGTGACTGGGGAGAGGGATGGAGGATGAAAGGAAAGAAGCTGTGATTGGGGGAAACATAGAACGCCGTATTCCGGTTGCTTTGCTGATGACATTCATATTGCTCACATGCTTTTCTTGAATCGCAAACATGTCTTTTCATTCGGGTTTTCATTAAACATTGTCCGTGATTTTAGCGGTACTCTTAAGAACCCCGAGACGAAACCTGCACTTCTATGCTTCTCTTCTCCTCATTTGTCTTGTCTTTTCTTTCCTTCTCTTTTTATCGCTTCTCATTTTTCAAAGTACTCTCACACCAAAGACTGTGTAGTAAATTTATAGAAAAGCTTCTAGATCTGTGTATGTTTTATGGTGTGGCAGCTGCAATTTATGTCTGGCTGTAACTCATTTGCAACAGTGTTATTCCTCTGTTTTGGTTTTATAGGTGAATGAGGTGCTGACGTACTGCACGGGGTCTTGTATTGAACAGTTTGACCCGTCCACGGGGCTCTGTGGTCAGTTTAGTCCTTTTTCAGTCCACCGCCGTTGTCTCAACTGTATGTGCCAACATCGGCTGGATTACCATTACGTTTTCTAGAGATGTTCATAGTTCTTAGAGGGATTCTACAGATTTGTTTCACCAACCATAACATCAACATTTATGTTTTTCCAGCGCTTTGCTTCATGAGCAAATACCTGCAACAGTATTGAATGCTAATTAGCTGATGTTAGCTCGCACAATGGCGAACATGGCTGAACATGAACCTGCTCAGCATGTTAGCGTAATGTCCTAGCATCAGGAGCAGCGGGCCGCTAGTGGGAGTTCCTGTTGAGCAGTTCCGGGTCATTGAACAGCTAGCATGGCTGGAGACTAGTTTTGTAGCACAGTGTGACCTTTTGTGGCCTATTAACTTTTTTAAAGTGTTTTCCTCCTTCTTGTATTTGAGAGCACTCTTGACTTTTGACCTTTTGAAAGACCATATCCAGCTTTCCCAAGTCACCTCCACACCCCTTTTCTTTCTTCTCCCTCTAAGGACCAGCTATTTCTTTTCTGTTGCAAATTACCAGTAAAATATCCTCCATATGTCCGTAGCTAGAATAGACAAACAGAACCCCCCCAGACACTTTGGGGGATACCCAAAGTGTCTTTGTAATGCTGTGACTGTTTTGTCTCCCCTTGTGTTATATGACTGTGACGATCCCGTTCGATTCAAACTGCTCAACAATGGAGTGACAGTTCTGACAATTGAGCCCTATTTCATCAGGGAGCAGACAATAGAGTCACAACAGCTCCCTGCTGAAGCCGGGTTGTTGGGCAATAGTTCCTGATGCACTTTTAACCCTTCTTCTTGCACATACCCCCCCTCCCCCCTCCCCACGCCCCCACACACCGATATACCTGTTGATTACATCATAATGTCAATAATACTCTCATGCACTCACAGAGGCACATGTAGCGGATGCAGTAATTATATTTTTCTCTCCCCTCTCTCCTCAGCATATGTGCGTTGCTGCCATGGCGACCATGGCTCCACCCCTCACATTTCTCCTCCTGCTGCTTCAACTGGCGAATGGCTCATTCCCAGAGGAGCCCAGTCCCCTCAGCTACGTCCCCGTAGAGGGTACGTTTCCTCCCTGCTCCGCCCTGTGTGCCACTGTGACTGTACGTGCAGCTTTGATGATGAATGGTTTCACGGTGGAGGGCGAAATTGCAGGTCAAGGGTCAGCGCTTGTGTGTGTAAAGTGACTTTCCAGCTACCCGGGCATACAGAGAGATAAAGAGAACTCAGTCTTTACCGCAATGACTGAACGGTAGGCGAATAGTAGAAGAATATGAGAGAGAAAGAAATACACAAAGACTGTAACACAAAGAGAGCCAGAGAAATGATTGTCATGGATTTTGAGAGGCCCAGGAAGATGAAAAAGAGTGAGACAATATGATTGGATGGGGTGATACAGATGACAGGATAGAAGGCTGAGGGAAGAGAGAAGGGGTGGAGACAGGTGGAGATGGATTGCTCCGTTCTCCTCTCTCCCTCCCCTGCAGTCAAGGACAATGAGACGTTCCCCCAATCTGTCTCCTGATGATGAGGGCTCCCTATGGAGACCGTTGTCCTCCTCTTTAAAACCTTCTCGTACTCTGATGCAGGCACTCTCTCCCAACCTCATCGCCACTCTCCCACTTATCTGAAATGGAGGGCGGAGGTCATTTTTGTATTTTATTAAAATTACAGTATTGGATGCTCACAGTTTTGTCAAACAAAATGAAACACACTAAAAGGATAGAAGTGTTTCAATGTACTTATGCTGCAACAATCATCTATTCCTGTTACCTTTGTTTGCCCGGTATAAAGAAAGAACAAAGAAACTATTAAGTGATGTAAGTGGTTAGAGAAGATTTTAGGGTAAATATAGATTGACTCGCTGGGTTCCTTTAGCACTTTGTAATGCACGTTGTTCATAATCATTGAAGCATTTTACTCTATTCAACTGTGTGTGTGTGTGTGTGTGTGTGTGTCTGTGTGTGTGTGTGTGTGTGTGTGTGTGTGTGTGTGTGTGTGTGTGTGTGTGTGTGTGTGTGTGTTCATGTCAGTTGTTCGGAGGTATCCAGTGTTCTTGGGCAGAGCTCACCGTTCAGCTCAGAGACAGGATCTGCACATCCAGACGGTCCTCCAAGTCAACCGCACTCTCTACATTGGTGCCAGGTAACCAACGGCAACCACCTCCTCCTGTGTTACTGACGTGTTCGCATTCACATCCTTTTGCTCTTCATTTCATGCCTCGGCCTCCATCTGCTGTCACTCTGCAGATCAGTTCGTTAAAGCAATAAATCCTGTTGATGATTGTCATTGAAAACTATTATTAACATCACTGTCATTCTCCACATGATAAATGGAAAATAGTGAACTGTGGTTGCAAATATTGGTTTGAAAAATAGTGATTCTGAAAAGAATTAAAGAATTAAACAAATAAAGACATGGTTGAAATTGGTCCTCACTAAATGATACTGAAGAATTGGCTTTTCCTTAAGCATTGTTTATATTATATATCAAATGTCCTGTATTATCACATTGGCACTGATTTGTTTTGTGTTTTGTAGAGATGACTTGTACAGAGTGGAGTTGGACAACATGGCAGGGGATGAGATGTTCTACAGCAAGGTACGTCTCCTCTCCTTTCCCACGCTGAAAACCACAGCTGATGATGTACACAAACACACATAACAAACCCATTCACGCTGTCGTCTGCTCCTTTGGCAGAAACGAACGTGGGAATCCAATAAGAACGACATTCGAGTGTGCCGGATGAAGGGCAAACATGAGGTACTTTGCTTGTACACAGCACTCTGAGATCCACTCATACATGCACAACAGCACCGATGCTATCACACGCATGGAAAGGCACTCCAGCTGTCATAGGAACCTTATTTCCTTCAGATGCACCTGGGAATTTACACAAAATCACATTAGCTCAGTGAAACGTTTCGCCGACGGAGAGACATCCATGAAACTTGGAGGCAATCGTCTTGCACACCTGTATTGTCGTTAAATATCTCATCTACAGCTTTTGGTGAAGACTTTTTGTGCAATTTTGTGCATGTTTTAAGTGATAGTTGACAATATTCTTAGATATTAAATGTATGTAATCAATCCACAAAAGAGAAAGATTTGAGATTTGGAATAGCAACTTGCTTGTATGCATGTTGCCATCAGCAAAAACCAATCTGGGGCGGCGGATCTCATGGAAAACGAGGAAGAGGCAAGAGGAAACATTATAGACAGAGTGACACAGCCTCAAGGAGGACACAGAAATTGAAATCGGTTGAGGAAGAGGAAGGGATGAGATGTGTAGGTGGAGGATAAGTGGGGAAGAAACAAAAGGAGAATAAGTGGTAAGGAAGAGCCAGAGAGACCACCAAAGGAACAGATTTGTTGCTTCAGAGAACACGGATGAAAGAAAAAAAATTTGTTTGAGCAAAACAAGCTGTGATAAAACACCGGAGGAGAGAGACTCGCCCAAGGTGGAGAGATGGCGAGAGCATAAGTGGAAGACAAAAAATAGAGGCCTGAAACTAAAGCCCACTAACTCACACAAAGAAAATGATAAGGCTCAGGGTAGATGATGCGGCTGTAAATCATCTAATAGAGTAGACATAATAAAGCCGTTGCAGTCCAAAAATAAACCTTTTTCACGGCAGATAATGGATCCGCGTTTACAGGTGACACTGTTAACATTAGCGAAGGCGGCGATACTTGAGAAACTGTTACCCCGTGTCATTATACTCCCCTCTTTAATCATTCCCTTTGTGTTTTCCTCTGTAGGAAGAGTGCCGTAATTTCATCAAGGTTTTGCTCAGCCAGCACGGCGGCCTGTTTGTATGTGGAACAAACGCCTTCAACCCGCTGTGTGCCAACTACACTGTTAGTATCCGTCTCTCTGTCAGCCGGCCACTCCCTCTGTGTGCTCGCCAGTTGCTTAGCTCAATATATATATATATATATATATATATATATATATATATATATATATATATATATATATAGTACCAGTCAAAAGTCTGGACACACCTTCTCACAATATGTTTTTTTTCTTTCATTTGAATTTCTTGAATCTTTCATTTTTGCAGAAAGACACTCTAGAAATGGTGGGGGAGCCTGTGAGTGGGATGGCACGGTGCCCGTATGACCCACGACATGCCAACGTGGCTCTGTTTGCAGGTACTACCTTCAGTCTGCGCGCTGACGCAATGCATGAGTTTTTAGCAGACGTCAGACTCCGTTTTGGGCTGCAGACATTTAAACGGCTGCGCTCTTGTGTTTTCCCTTTCCAAATGATTTATAGAGACCTCTGGCTGTATTGCTTGTTTAGTTTTAATCTTCCTGACCTTGTGCTATCCCTCCAATCCATATCGTCCCTTTCTTCTCCTTAATCTCCTCCGTTCCTCTCTGTCTTCTTCTCTCTCCCTCTCAGACGGGAGTCTCTTCACTGGTACCGTGACAGACTTCCTGGCCATCGACGCGGTGATCTATCGCAGCCTCGGCGACAGCCCCGCCCTCCGCACCGTCAAACATGACTCCAAATGGTTCAGAGGTACTTTTTTGAAACCGTCGTATTTCAACGACTCTCCTGCGTCGGACACCTTTGATTGATGGTCAACGAACAAGTGTCCTAAACCATCGCCATTAAAAACAACAGTTTACTGGGAATTGAAATTGGTTTCCGGCTGTACACAATAAGCTACAGTCGATGAAATCAGTCACGGTAGTTTATTTTAAGTGAAAGACGGTGATGTGTTTCGGTTAGTTTGACTCAGAGTTTTAAGAACAGCTTGTTTTCAAAGGAGAAATAAACAATCCACAGCAGGTCAAAGCTTGAACTGTGCAGGATGAATACACGATGAATAATGTGCATCTTCTTGTCCGAGATGGTAAATTGAACGGGACATGAATATTTGATGATTGAGGCCCGTGGACGACAGCGGCCCATGTAGACCCGACTGTTATTACAGCTCCATGTCACGGACTGCGGAGCGTTGCGCTCGGCCCCCCGGCACTGCGTTTGTGTGTGTTTGTCTAACTGCGGCCCACTCATTTTACGTTTCAGAGCCCTACTTTGTGAGCTCCATGGAGTGGGGGCCACATATTTATTTCTTCTTCAGAGAGATGGCCATGGAGTTTCATCATCTGGAGAAGGTGCTTTCTTTCTCTTCCTCTCGTCCTATTCCGTTGCCTCCATTGTATTAAGCTGCGCTTCTTTTGTTCCAGGTGATGGTGTCCCGTGTAGCTCGTGTGTGTAAAGCAGACCTGGGAGGCTCTCAGCGCGTCCTCGAGAAGCAGTGGACCACATTTCTGAAGGCGCGGCTCAACTGCTCCGTGCCGGGAGATTCGCACTTTTACTTCAACCTCTTGCACGCAACAAGCAACATCATCCACATGCACGGGCGAGACGTCATCCTGGGCCTCTTTTCCACTCCGCCCAACAGGTACAGATATGCAAGCAATGTTCTCACAGGCGACCGCCAACGCTGTTCTCCCCGTCATTGTCTTACGGCGTCTTTTGTTCCCCGTTGACAGCATCCCCGGCTCTGCGGTGTGCGTGTTCGACATGCAGCAGCTCGCTCACGTCTTTGAGGGCCGGTTTAAAGAGCAGAAATCCCCCGAGTCTATTTGGACACCTGTGCCGGACGAGGCTGTGCCTAAACCGAGGTATTGCTATGCAAAGTGCATGTGAGCCGCTCTGCATTTCTGCCAAATGCTGCAGTGCTGCTTTGCTGAGCATCTGTCTGCATACGCAGCCTACGTCTGCTCGCCTGCTGTATGCTCCAACTGTCAATCACACAGCAACTTCACTACTATTCAGCAAATATTCTGATACAGCCTCCAGCAACCACAAAAATAAATCCTCTGGCTCTTTTCTCCTCTCTCTCTCTCTCTCTCCTCCATTTGTCTGTTTTTTCTTTGACTCTTAACTGTTGTGTCTCTTTCTCTCTCCTGCAGACCAGGAGGATGTGCAGTGCAGGGATCCAGATTCAGCTCCTCCAACACGCTGCCAGATGAGGTGCTGAACTTTGTGAAGACCCACCCACTGATGGACGACACCGTCCCGCTGCTGGGGCACAGACCGTGGGTGGTCAAGACCATGGGGCGGTACGCACACTGACTCAGTTGCTTGATAGCGCCCATGCGTAACTTTTACGGTGTGAAAAAATAAAAGTGTAAATAGGCACCATAGCTTTTAGGAATTATATCAATTGTTTAGTTTTTTTCATTGATTGAATATGGTTTCACCATTGGTGTTGTCCAGGTACCAGCTGACGGCCATGGTGGTGGACACCGAAGCTGGACCCCATAAGAACCGTACCGTCTTGTTCTTGGGCTCCACCCGAGGATCCATCCTGAAGTTTCTGATGATCTCCAGCGGGGATTCGTTCTCCCACAGCAGCGTGTTTCTGGAGGAGGTGGAAGGATTTAACCCAGAGAAGTGAGTGTTGCAGGTTTGACCCCGTGTCACGCTGTCCGTTTCTACCTGAGAACTTGTGGGCAGCAGTAGCAGGTCACGCAAGAGCTGTCTGCAATTACAACAGCATCTTGGAGGTCATACAAATATAAGTACAAACAAACACTGACACGCTGAATACAACATTTTTAGGCAACGTTTTAGGTTAACGTTGAAGACAAAAATGACAAGATTATGGTAGCGAGCCAGTCACCCACAAGTTAGCCACGTCCTAAAGCGTACCTGCTTTATTATCAAAGGTTCTTAAAATGAGAGCATCGCTTAATTAAATTTTATTTTAAATTTCATGCTCTATAGAATAAGAATGGTTACTAAGGATAGAATCGGCTTCCTTTTTCAGATGAAGAGGTCGCCGCCTGGTTGAAACCTACAACCCATGTTGTTGATTCATTTGACAATCGTCCATTCCGTTAATTAAACACTAAATGTCAAATATACAAAAAAGTGTCCATGATAAGGTCAAGGGTTATTGTTCAAATGGTGTGTTGTATTCAAACAACAATCCGAAACCAAGAGATTTAAAGAAAAGCATTTGAGAGGCTAGAAAACAGTGAATATGTGCAGTTTGAGCTTGAGTATTGATCAAAAACATCCATGTATGTCAACTAATTTATTAATTCATCAACTAAACGTTTCAGCTCTTTTCATTGTTGTTTTTTGAGGTTTTCCAACCTTTTGTAGCAGCAGAAAACCGTTTTAACTGTAGGACCTGTCGTCATCCACTCACCCAAATGAGATTCATTCCTTCATGAGTTCAAAAGAACGTCTCCCTAAAATAGTGCCGATGTTGTGACTCTCTGCATAAGGGTGAGTTTGCGAGTGCGTCTGGCTTGAGGTAGCAACAGGTGACCTGTGACCCTGTCACAACATGACTTGAGGCCAGACGGTGTACATTGTGCTTCCGCTGCTGGGTCCTTGACCTTCTGTGTCTTGCTGTCTGCAGGTGTGGTGAGGACTCTCCTCAGGCCCGTCAGCTCTTGTCCCTGTCACTGGACCGGTCCAGTCACACTCTGCTGCTGGCCTTCCCCTCCTGCCTGGTCCGAGTGCCCACGTCTCGGTGCCACCTGCACTCGCGCTGCATGAAGTAAGGGAAACACTGTCACCGGTTTTTGGTAGCAAGCAACTCACTGGCTAACTTTAGTTTGATGGTTTGGCTCTCACTATTAGCGCAGTTGCCACTATAAATTATATGTGGATGGATGTAATGTGTGTTTGTCAAACCACAGCCACTTAACCACTGGTTTATTTAGGGGGAATTTGGTCCCAGGGATATAAATTTAACGTGTCATAATGGGACATTTAACGTGACAGAAGAGGCTTCAACATTGTCTTGATGTTATGTTGTAATAAAATAGATCACTTGATATTAATACCAAAAGGCCATTTGGTTGGTACTGCACATACGGGGAAGATCTTTTGAAGTAGAACTCAACACTGTGAAAAAGTGGTAAAAAAAATGGCCACTTCTGAAAATCAGGTCAGTAATCAATCTTTCTTGGTGTGTAGGAGTTGTCTGGCCTCCAGGGACCCGTACTGTGGCTGGACCAGAGGCAGCACCTGCTCCTTCCTGAGACCAGGCACACGGTGAGAACAACCCACGCACTCACGCAATACACTCTCACCAATGTGAACAGTTTCTTTGCTGCCTGCAGATTCAGGACACGTTATTGTATGTGGAGTTTAATTGAGTAATGTGCAACATTCTTCTATCTGGCAAGAATGGACATAATGACCATAATAACCAAAGAAACAGAAATAACATACATTCCGCACACAACAAAAATTGTTGCATATCATTGCATATCATATGCATATCATTTTAATATTGTATTTATTTTAATGTGTAAACCAGTAATAATGTGTGGGTGTATAATATTTTATTCAGCATTATTTACAGTACATACTACCTTTATAAACACATTTGTTTGAAAAGTATTACTATCATTATCCTTATAAAGGATATTAATATTCCTATAAACAGTATGAAGTATTATTGGTGTCAAGTCAAACATCATGGGCAGCATCGCAATCCGTAGTCTCTGTTGTTGACCCTGACCTCTGACCTCCCTGAGGGATGATGGCGAGCATAAGGACAAAATCAATAATGTATCCCATTACACTAGATGACACATCAATATGTGCAATATCAGTTAGATTGATGACTATCAACAAATGGCTCTATTAATTTACAGTTTTCATGCAAATGTTCATACAGAAAGTAAATAGTTATTTTCAATTACATTTATTTCTTGTCTGTTAAACGATAGACATTCAACCATGAAAGATGACATGCAGTACATATTTAATTCATTTCAGTATAATAACATGTTTCCTACTGGATGATGTTGGTATACAAAGAGTATTGAAGTCCCGGATGTGCTGATCTTTGTGTGTTGCAGGCTGCCTTTTCAACAAGATGTGGAATATGGAAACACCACCTCCCATCTGGGAGACTGTGATGGTGCGTTGCAATACTATTTCTGCCTGTTTCCGCCGCCTAGTGGAAATATTCCCCATTACACCTGCCTGCTTATCGTTGCACCTTTTGTTCTGTGAAACAAAACATCTAATACTGTACTTCCACGTGAGAGAATATTTTTTGACAATATCTGTAATTGAGCACATTTTAATTGGAATTTCCTCCCCAGCCAACCAAGATCCCTCAACCATTTTATTAGCAAGCAAAGGTTTTGGCGTCTGTTTTTAATTTGAATCAGATGGGAGAGGAACTTGGTTTCAACCTCACTGCCTAGAGGTGAAAACGCTCCCAGTAGGACACAGTTGAACTAAGAGGATGTGAGAGTTGTAGCTGCTGGGCGACAATCGGCAGGCTTTGTTCTCAAAGGTGAGCATCTGAGAGAAGAATGAGCGAGGGTAACCGGTGAGCAAGCTGGTAAAAGCTTAGCAAAAAACACCAATGTCACCTCTGTGGCCTGGCTCATATGTCACTGCGGTGCCAGAGGGGACCTCTTTGCAGCACATTCCAAGCCCTCATCAAACTGTTTTGAACTGAGATAAGGGCTTCTCCATTTGAACCTGATAGCAGTAGAAGTCAGTGATGCCGGGCTGCAGACCTGACAGACTCTAATCCGAGAGGTTGAACGTGCAGCGGAGGCCGAGCCAGGCGACAGGCATGTGCTGCTGCTGCTGCTGCTGTGTCTGCAGATGGGAGCGATTAGAGGCGGGTGGAAACACTGAGGTAATGGTACGCTGGGAGGAGAGAGTCACTGACCAGGCCGCACGCAGCCTGGAAAAGAGTGAGGTGGAGAGGAGAGAGGAGAAAAGGAGCGTCAGCTGCTGTGGCAAGTGCAGGAGCCTGTGAAGCCCCAAGGCCAGACTGGGGCAAAGCTCCTTTTAAAAGACAACCACTGTATAATGCTGAATCCCATGGTCACCAATCGTGATTATTATCGCGGTTATTGATGGCTTTGTCCTCATATCGGGTGAGGGGGGAGAAGCAGAATAGCTCTGCAGTAATGATCATTTAAACCTGCACCACGTGGACGGACATCGAATCCACAGTTCTACTAAATAACGTAATTGTGTGTTTTAATCTTTAGGAATTCTGCAGCAGAGTTTGCTCATTGAACCGGAGAGCTTGGTCTCCCTCAACCTGCTGGTGGCGTCTGCGGTGTCTGCGTTCACCATTGGTGCGGCGCTCTCCGGCCTCGCCGTCTGCTGGATCATGGCCCACAAACCAACCAACCGTCGCCACGGCAACGCCGCCCAGTCCTCCATCCAGCGGCGCGAAAGAGGCCTGCTGGCTAACGGCGGTGGGATGGGAGGCTCCGTGCTCAGCGTGACCCGGCAGGGAGGCGGGGACCGCCCCTGCACTCAGGGCGGGGAAACCCTGTTTGTCATGCCCAACGGCTGGGTGAAGTCGGGAGAGCTCGACCCGGGTTTCCTGCCAACGCCGGAGCACACGCCCCAGCAGAAACGCAGAGGCCTGCGACTGTCTGACTCCAACTCTGGAGGGTGGGACACCAGCCAGACGTACCTAGGTGGAGGCTCTGTTGGTCTGGGCTCTCCCTGCCGCATCCCCCCCACCGTCTACCTGACCACCAGACTCTTCCAGCAGGGCGGAGGCGGGAGACACGGCGGAGAGAGCCGTGGAAACGACACGCCGCGCCAGCACTACGTCTGCCTGAGCAAGCTGGAAAAGGGGGTGAAGGGGACGCCCAAAGCCCCTCTCCGGAAGTCTGCTGGAGAGTACGTGTACCCCATGACCCCCCAGGACTCGCCCGAGCGCCGGAGGGTGGTTTCAGCACCAAGCGCCCCTGTGGAGTATGGCGAGCCGCTGCCGTTGCGCTGGCCCGCCCCGGAGGGATACATCCTAAGCAGCCACGGCATGGTACCCGTCCCCCTGCCTCCGCCCTCCATGCCCGCCCCCAGCGGCCAGGCTTACATGTCCCAGCAACACGCCCCCGGGCTGAGCAGGGCTCTGCTGAGAGGAGCCCTGGAGCGAGGGGAGCTGGGCGAGCTGGTGGATCTCAGCCAGCTGATGAGTAAGAAGAACTGCGGTGATAGGACTCAGACTGGCCAGTGACCGCTGAGGAGATGAAGAGGACGGGAGCGTTTCCATGTCTGGATCTCTCTTCTTTTCTCATCCTGTCCGGTCCACCCTCCCTTCACTCCATCCCCCACCCTCCCCCACACACACACACACATCTTTATTTGTGACTCAGCCCCACTGAGCTCCTGTGTCAGTCTTTCAGGCCCCGCTTGTACCCCGTGAGGAGCCTGTGACTGGCTGCGGGGTCTGCCACTCACTAATTGGTCGGAGGAGGTTGTTGCCGTCTCTGCATTGCAGAGTTGCCTCTCTCTCTCTCTCTCTCTCTCTCTCTCTCTCTCTCTCTCTCCTGCTAGTCAGCGGCAGCAGGATGAGGAACGAGAGTGCATGTGGAGGAAAGAACGAAAGAAAAACAGCAGAAGGGGTTGTGGGGGGGGCAGAGACAACGGAGACCAAGTTGGACTTAGAGGCGGCCTTTTCTGTGCAGATTAACTGGGGCTGCAGAGCCAGGAAGATACTGCTACACAAGCGTGATTCCTTCTCCCTCGTGTAGAACATTGGTAGGACCGCCGCCACCCGTCTGCTCGCCGCCCTGTTACCTGTTGGTCTGATTGCCAGCCGGGTACTTGAGCCCAAACTGTAAAACTGGGTGAGGTGACTCATCAGACAAAGAAACTGACAAGTTTGATGGATGACGGCGAAACACATAACCTCCTCTCGCCGCTTTTTTTTTCCCCCTCTCTCTCTGTGTCCTCTTGGCCTCACACATACAGTAGACGCAGGCGACCGAGGGTATTTAGTATTCAACGTGTACGAGAAGCAGAACTCGTGTGCCAAATGCCCCTAACCTGTTTCACGGGGGGGGGATGTGGGACCATAACTCACGTCTTCGGAGAGCACAGTGCAGGACTGAATAGTCAGCAGTGTTTCTGCCGACCGCATGCTCTCTGTGATGACGGCATCTCAGCCCTCCATCGAGCTGCTTTGCGCCACGTGCTCTTAAATGACCAATTATTCCCACGAGGACGTCTGGGGAGATCGCACGCCAACACTGGACTGACTCGTGCTGCAGAGGAAGAAAGAGAGCGTTTTTAGAGGGTCTGAAGTAAATGTACTGTAATATACGGACACCTTGTCCTTCTCAGTCAACACACACACACATTCATTAATGCTGAATTAGAGAACACAGTCTGGTTTTATTGGGCAACATTTTCTGCGAAGCCCCCAGAGGGTCACGGTCCCACAGACGTGAGAGGGAACAAAGTGACAGTTACAGCAGGGATGATTGAAACCTTTGGCCTCACTCAAAGCCAATAGGGGGAATGGAAATGTTCCCAGCAGGCAAATGGGCCAATATATTCAGCCCGTCAAAGTGCCCAGTGCCCCGAAATGGTCGACGTTCAGATCAACACAACATGGTTTGAGTGTGATAGTGAGGAGATGGAGGTCATAAAAAGGAAATAAGATACATGCAGAAGCAAAAAGCAATTAACTTTGTAAAACAAATGGAAAATTGTGGGTTTGTTAGATGACAGACCTGGTTTTCACGCTCAGTCCCAGTCACTCATCAGCTTTGTGCTGGTGAGCAGCAATACAATATGGTTTGTGTGTACATAGTAAAATTTAATTTAGATAAAACTCATAATGTAAGATATACAGTGACTTCAAAAAAAAAATGGATATCAGGCATTCGGTTTCAAACACAGATACACATGTATCATGTCAATATAGCTATGTAAGTCTGAAAATATAAAACGTCCATATCGACCCACTTTGAAATGGAAATCAAAAACATAATTGATTTTTTTTTACATCTGCGTGCCAAACACCGTGAATGATTTACTGATGCCTGATACTAAAGCAAAAAACAAAAAAGAGAAAAGCGTTTTTTTAAGTGCCATGAAGACCATTTCAGTCAGCAGTGCACCTTGTGTACTGAGGTCCCGGAGAACTCACTTATTGCAGTATACTTGTGATACATATGCCTTTGACCTTTACATGCTGAATGTTATACATTATTTTTTTATTTCGATGTCGACTCGAACTGTTTAAATAGTTTCTTCCAGCTCCCCCTGTCTGCCTGGATGCTACTGACGCTGAATGCTACCGGAGGTGTTTGAGGGTCTGTTTATGAGCTACTTTCATGTCACACTTAACGTGCATTGTAAATATCTAACAATGAATGCAGACTCTTTGTCGGGCCCTTAATGATTATACTGTATTGCCTTCACTGATGCCGTGACATTTTATTCCGATAAGTAATAATAATTATTTATAAGTAGTTCTTAACCAAACCTTCAAATGTACTCAAATGGTTTGAGGGGACCTTGAGTTTCTCATTTTGTATCATATCTGTCCTGATCCTGGGCTTTTTTTGGCGTGTTCTGTATTCTAGTGATTGTCTGTCTGTCAACTGCCACACTGGAGGATCTTGAAAATACTTAATCATTAATCAATAGTAATCATTGAGCGTGAACGAATGTCCTCATTCTTTTTCTGTTTGTAGCCATTATACTGTGCAGCATTAAGGAAAAGCACAAAAACCTTTCTGTTGGTTTTGCATATTGAAAAGGAGCTGTTCAATCATTTGTCAATAGTGTAAATAATCACCTGTAGGTTTAGTGTTTGAGTTTTAGAAGGGGGGATCCTTCTGAGACGGGACTGTATTTGAAGTGTGAGGTTTTGTTTCATTTCTTGGTTTTCTTTTGGTGACAATGCTGTGAATAAGATGTATGTACAGTATTTACGTGACTCTGGCTGAATGCTGACTTCAGCTGTTTCTGTTATTAGAGTAGAGTCGCAGGCCTGACCTCAGCCAGAATTGAGCCTTCTCATTTGACTGATGCCTGCTGAGTTTTTTGCAGTTGCTAAGATACTGCTGTTATAATAACCATCAATCTTTGGAGTACCGCTATTAAATGGCATTATATAATTGACTGCTAATGTTATCGAGCTTGGTTCCAAATGCACTCACAGAAATAACAGCGTATAATTACATGCAAATCCACACATGCACAGATGCAATACTATTCCTCATAGTCTCAAGTAATGCCTGCATTGTTAGTGCAGCTTATATTTCTTTAAATCACTCATATTTGTCATCAACAGCTAAAGATACAGAGCGGAGAGTCAGCGGGTAAATCTCTCTTGCACTGACATTTCTCGCCACAAGAGGAAGCTGCACGCTGGCCTTCATTCAGACGGCCCACATGAGGAGGTGAACGAGGGGACGCCCCTGGCACTCGGCCGAGCATCAACTGGCCGTTGTCTGTGCTGCTGCGTTAGTCACACACTGGTTTTGTTGAGAGTCTTGGTGCAAAGGTGAGAATAGGCCTGCTTGCATATGATGCATTGAACATCACACAGAGAGCAAAAGGTTGAGTGAGTTTTGTTACAGGTATTTATATCCCGAAAACACACAAAAAAACACACATGAACTACATACATTTTATTTTGCCACGGTACATACTGATAAAGTAAAAAGGACTTTAACAATGATTTGCTATATTAACAAATCAACTGTGAAATTAACCAATTTGTAGACTAGGAATCGATTGGAACAAGCTGAAAAGTGCATTTTTCCATCGCCGATGCATTTCTTCGCAATAAATGTTGAAAAATAGTTGGGATTGTTGAATAATAGACATTTTATTAAAACATTTTTTTAAACTGAGTCAAAACTATACCATATAATGCTAAAGTAATGTCAAGTGTTGAATCTCAAGCCCGAGCTGACATTACGAGGGTTATTTTTTATCAAAAAAGGGCAAAATATTGCTTTTCAGTAAACTGAAGCTGA